AGGGCCTCTGATGGAAACATGGAGGGAATTGTGGTGGTTGTGGTGGTGGTGCTGGGGGCCCTCGCAAACGTTTTGCCCAGGGGCCCACACAACCCATAATCCGTCCCTGGTTATACTGACCATTTCAATTAAATGAATCAATTTTGTTCTATTTTATATTGAATTGCAAAGCAGAGAATTGTGACTGTGGTAAGCTGATTAAAAATCACTCTGGTCATTGGTATAAAATGATTGGAGGCAAAGTATGATTAATAATCCTGTACTGATGAAGAGCTTAGGAAATTCATGGATTGATGGCTGGATGGGTGGATGGATGATCAGGGCCACTGCCATCCTATGCAGGCTGTTCACCGGCCTTGTGTCCCCTATGATCCTATACAGGATAAGCAGTTACAAGATGGATGGATGGATGGATGGATTAATGGATGAGTAACCAGACGAATACAAACATCACAAGTCCAAGTGGGAAATTAAATAGTGATGCAGAACTACTGACCAGAAATGAATCTAAAATTAAAAAAACCCATAAAGGCTGTACAAATACCAGTAAAATTACAAACAAATTATAATTATAAATGGTACAAATGTTGACCACAGTTATATGCTACAGTTCCAGTAGTGATTAGATGTTTCTTCGGAGTGGATCGTCACGCTTATTTGAGAGGGAATCCCTGTGATTCAGCGGCTGAGAAACTACCGGAGAAACCCAGGCTGCAGCAACGTGGAAAAACAGCTTCCCAGCCGGGAAGGAGGGACGCCCTGGGGGATCGGAATCAGAGGGACCCCTGAGAGGGCAGGGAGGCTGGCCACAGGGGCTTCGGAGAAAAGGGCACAGTGAACTTGCAGGTATTTAATAATGGCCATCACTGAAGATTCACTGAAACTCAGCCTTAATGAAGGAAACCAAAGACTAAGGCTGTGGGAGAGGCAAAGCGTCACGGCCAAGCTTATTTGCCTCAGTGATCGCATCCTGCGGGATTATTACATTCCGGATCTGCTGTGTTTATAAGGTTGTCGTGGAAACCTGCTGGGTCATGGTAGAGCAGGTGTGGTAGGGGGGGGGGCTTCAGCCAGTGAGGCGGGACCAGGAAGCCAGATGGTCACTGGGGAGTCCTTGAGGGGGTGGGGAAACGGAAACACGCTATTAATCAGGTATGAAGTTAGCTAAATACCCGTAGCCCTTCCCTGACTACAGTGTCGCCTATAGTAACTGTAACCACAAGACCAACTAAGCGGATAATCCATTCATAAAAATTGTTACATTTTATATCAGATGTCACGTATAAATACAGCTAAACCATTTTACATTTAGCTAAAATATAATTCAGTGCACGCGTACCAGTATAAAGGAATAATTTGTCAAGGTACCCAGGGTAATTTTGGAAATTAGATTTTATTATATAGCCTATTTAAAATATTTATAGCTCATTTTTTCCTGCGAGGATGATATTGAAGGTGTTCAGAATCCAGGTCTTGGACTGCAGGGGATGAGGAGAATATTAACTGTCACCTGGTGTGGCTGGGACAGCGAGGTATCGGAGGCGAGAGGTTTCCCAGCACCGTGCTGCGTGTCGTGGGGGGCATGTTTGTGTGGTGATGAATGAATCATTACAACGGGCCCGTCTGCTCTGGGGCTGAGCTGCTGAAGTACGTGGCAAAACGGGCGTTGCCCACTTCAAACTAATAGACAGCGTGACCTGTAAGACCACCCACATGCCACTTATTAAATCCCGTAATGTTCTTCGCGATGTTCCCTCGGTCACACGCGCTCTGACATCCTGCCCTGCTCTCACCCCCGCCCCCATCCCAAAAATGACAAAAGGGGGTGGAGCCAGCCAACGTTATCTGTCCTCCACTTATCTTGCCGATGAGATCCATGAGCGGGTCGAGGCTTGCTAGGGCCTGTGGGGGCCACATCATTTTCCGTTTATAGCACAGCTCTGGATCATTTTCGGGCCTAGCAGGTGAGGACAAAGAACGTCTCAACTACGTTTCATAATAAAAGTCTCTCGCTAAAGCTGAAGTATTATTTACATCCCTGTAAGTGAAGGTGACAATGCACTCCCTTTACAACAATGTTGCCACTGTTATTACTTTATTGCAAATCGTGGTTCTAATGGACATGGCATGTTTACAATGTTCATTTACTCTGGCTCCAAGAATAAAAGGTTCTAGAAGCATTGTGTGGTACTTTTATTACAGAAGGAAGGAGAGTCATTTGACTTCCACTTTAGGTCCAGTATGCAGGCTTTTAAGTACAGGGAAAAGTGTCTCCAGTGGCATCTACTGAACCACGAGGTCCTAGTGCACCCAGGACTTTTATAGAATATGACGCCACAATACTTCAGATGTACCCCGGGGAAAAAAACTGAAGGTCTGACCTTACTTTGAGGTTAAGCGATTCAGTCATTATGAATGTTTAAGTCAGTGTTTCTCAATCCAGTCCTCGGGGACCCACTGAGAGTCCACGTTTTTACTCCCTCCCAGGTAGCTGTGAGGGAGCGAAAATGTGGACTGTCTGGCGAGGAGCTGGTAGCATGGACCGTCTGTGGGTTCCCGAGGACTGGGTTGGGAAACATTGCTTTAAATTGTCACTGTTTGTTTGGAATGCATCGTTGTTTTAGCCTCACAAGTTGCTGTACATTTGCATACCGAGTCCATCTAGCAGCATCAACCTGTCGTAAATGGCAGATAATGCCAGCTTCAGGCCTTTAAGACTGGCCTTTAAAATATCTTTATGTGACGTGAACCCTGAGTGCAATTCAGAAGTCAAAATATTCTCTCATCGGGTGACAGTTCCGGAGTTTTGGGCGGCCCTGTGCCATTGAACTGAATCGGCCTTTTGGTGTCCAACTGGTTGGAACCTAAATTCAACGATCACAGCAGTAAATTTAGTTCTGACTGGGTAAATAAAAGCTATAAACAGCCCCTTACGATGCATTGATCTGACCGTCACCTCGCCAGATGTTCTCTGACCACAATTACCGAGCTGCATTTCAAACGGAGGGTTTCCGGGGGTGCGTCACATACGAACTCGCCGGTAAACGTGCGCGGTGAGATGAAAATCTGACCTGATGAGAATAAGTCAACATCTAGTAACCACCGCAATCCATTCCGCACTGGAGACAAGTTCAGCATCACGGAGGGCGACTGTTTCATGCATAAGATCGAAGCGGTCAGCCTGCGATTACAAGGCTGCCCGTTACTCTGGGGGGGGCACATTTGGCAGAGTGAGGGGGAGGGCTGACCTTTGGCTGAGTGACGTTTCCTCACACACGCACCTGTGATACTCGCCCAAGCCCTGACATCCTTTCCCGGTGGTATGCCGATGACGAGGAAATCCCTCTCTGGTGCTGCAAGAGCCAGTCTGCAGCATGTTATGTTGTAGATCGCCTGAGCTCAAGGGCAGTACGACTGGTGCAAGCTGGCCGAGATCCTGTGCAGAGTAAAGGCAAACGGATCACCGTCTCCCACAAGTACCGCTGATTCACTTTGTGAAGCACGAAGAGGTTGTGCAGGGTCTCATATCGAGGGAAGCTGGAACAATCCTGGCTCTCGGCTACACTGGACCATATGAGTACAGCTTAGCTAGCAGCTATGTGTTCCTGCTACATTAACACAACCTCCTTAAGACTTTGTAGTAAGGTATTCAGCAGACAGTAAAATTATAATGGTCCAGTTTACAATCCCAGGGGAAAAAAAGAATGGGGGCATTAGAGGAAGAATGGGGAAGAACTCTTAGTTACCTAGTGGAGGTGGGTTGGTGAGCCTTCATGGGAACATCTACTTGGCATCTATTGAAGGATGCTGGAGGGTTAGGAAGCGATGCCGGCCAAGGAGGCTGAGAAGGGCAGCTTCTGGCTGTGGCTAAGGAGGAAGGATCAAATTTGGGGAGGTAGGTGTGGTAGGCAGGTAGCAGAAGAGTGGACTTGGGGAGG